GGGGCCGGGGGATGCAAGTTGCGGGGTGAGGCGGGGTGGGAAAGCCATGGGAGGGTCTGGGGGTGTGGGTCTGGGTGGGGCAGCCATTGGGGGGGCTGCAACAACAGTGGGTAGAGGGTGCAGGGAACTCTCAGGGCTGCTTCAGCAGTCTAGCTGGCACAAGGGGTAGTGTCCCCAGGTACCAATTGGCTGGGCCCTACTTGCCAGGGCGGCTTTCTATATTGCTGGGGCCAGGACAGGGCGGCTTTTTATACTGCTGGGGACAGCACAGGTGCTGGCCCTGGGCTCTAGCTCCCCCTGGCTGAAGATCCGGGATGAGCCAAGCCCCGGGCTCTAGCTCCCCCTGGCTGAAGATCCGGGATGAGCCAGGCAGGGTTATTTTGCCCCAGGTGGCACAGTTTGCTCCACAAGAAAGTGCATGTCCGAGCACACGCGCTGAAGCAAAAAGCCCAAGCTCAAATATGCACCGCTTCTATTTGAGCTGCTGCAAGTGCACGTGCTTGCATGTGTGGATGCACCCACATAGTCTTCTAATGCAGTTATCCAGAACTTTAAATCAGAATTAGCAGATGTAAGCAAAAAAATCAAAAAAAGTATTTAATTGTAAACCAACTATGGATTCCCATAAGCAGTTTACAGAAGATCCAGAGAATCTGAACTATATCTGGTTTTTGGTTTTAACTTTTTTTCATGAACACAGTGGATTCTGTTAGAAAAATCTACCTGGGACAACTGCTAAGTCAATAGAAACAGCAGGTGTAAAAAAATAAAATTAGCTGGCCATATCCATTGTGTCTATATGATGCACTTAGGACCGCTTTGTGCACCTAAATGGCAGTTTTCCAGTCATGCAAGTGGCCTATTGTGCACTTACACAGTAGGTGTATCTACACAAGATGCTTTTGCTAGTAGCAATACATACAGGTGCTTGAAAAATAGCACATTAAGCTAACTAATGCACATAAGCACACATGTAGATGCTGGCCAGAAGCAAATTGCTCCCAGTCAGCCCACAAAGCAAGGTGCCACACTACTGGCTGACTAAGCCCCAAGCTCCAGGGGGACAGGGGGAGCTGTCCCTGCCTCTAGGGACAGCTCCTAGCCCCACAGAGCTTGGGGTTAGCTGCAGCTGGTGCTCCCAGGAGCAATGTGTGCAGGTCCAAGCCACCAGTTGGGGAGATAGGACCATGGCGCCCATACTGTGTCCATCCTTCCTTCCTCTAGGAGCTGCGATTTCCCTTGGGAGCTGTGATTGCAGTGGCAGTGAGGACCGGAGCTTCCCTGCAGCCCTACTTAGTGAAGGGGCACTTGGAGGGGCTGGATTCAAGAAGGGGAGGAGGGATGAACCAGGAAACTATAGGCCAGTTAGTCTCACCTCTATCCTTGGGAAAACTCTGGAAAAAAATCATTAAGGATCACATTTGTGGGAACCCAGCATTGGAAATAATGCTGGAAGGAAATCAGCACGGGTTCATTGTAAGTAGATCCTGCCTGACTAACCTTGTTTCTTTTTATGACCAGGTCACAAACTGCATAGACACAGGAGCAGAGATAGGTGTCATCTATCTAGACTTTAAGAAGGCCTTTGATACGTGTCGCAGGGCACCTCAGTGCCTGCTCCTAGGGAGTAGAAACTGCCAGGGAGAGAGAGCCCTGGCAGGACATAGAGCCCAGATGAGGGTTGCCAGGGTAACGGGCACAGCTGCGGGTTGCTGGGGCAACTAAGGAGAGCCAGCTGCCTGTAGGAGGCAGGGCCTGGCCCTTATAAAGCCCAGGGCTGAGACCAGGCTGGCAGTTCCCTGCCAGCAAC